GCCTGGATTGGCAAAGCCTGGCTCAGCTAGGCCTGGATCAGCAAAGCCTGGCTCAGCTAGGCCTGCTTGGGACAGAGACAGAGATCAGCAAGGCCCAGCTCAGCCCAGGATGCCTGGGACAGACAGAGATCAGTCAGGCCTGGCTCAGCCCGGCCTGCCTGGGACAGGGCGAGAGATCAGCCAGGCCCAGCCTGCCTGCCCAGCAGCCTGGGGGACAGAGAGAGTTCAGTTGGACTTGGACACGCCCAGGGATGGAGCAGCCACAGCTTCTCTGGGAATTCCATTCCAGCCCTCATCACCCTCACATTGGGAATTCCTTCCTGAAATCCAACCTAAACTTCAGTTTGACCCAATGCTCCAACTCCTGAGGAGGAATCCCTTCCACTTCCCAGATTTTCCCTTCCCACACCAGACATGCCTTGATCTCTCCACACAACACCCAGGATCATTCCCACCTTTCCAGAACCATGACCCCAGACTGCTCCAAGCTGACCTTGGACACTCCCAGGGATGGAGCAGCCACAGCTTCTCTGGGAATTCCATCCCAGTCTTTCACCACCCTCATATTGGGAATTCCTTCCCAAAATCCAACCTAAATTTCCACATTTTCAGCTGACTCCAACTCCTGAGGAGGAATCCCTTCCACTTCCCAGATTTTCCCTTCCCACACCAGACATGTCTTGATCTCTCCACACAACATCCAGGATCATTCCCATCTTTCCAGGACCACCACCCCAGTCTGCTTCAACCTGGCCTTGGACACTTCCAGGGATCCAGGGGCAGCCACAGCTGCTCTGAGAATTCCATCCCAGCCCTCACCACCCTCATATTGGGAATTCCTTCCATAAATCCAACCTAAATTTCCATTTTTTCAGCTGACTCCAACTCCTGAGGAGGAATCCCTCTCCACCTCCCAGATTTTCCCTTCCCACAATGCCCAGGATCATTCCCACCTTTCCAGGACCATAACCCCAGACTGCTCCAAGCTGACCTTGGACACTTTCAGGGATGGAGCAGCCACAGCTTCTCTGGGAATTCCATTCCATCCCCTTCACCAGCCTCATATTGGGAATTCCTTCCATAAATCCAACCTAAACTTCAGTTTGACCCCATTACTCCAACTCCTGAGGAGGAATCTCTCTCCACTTCCCAGATTTTCCCTTCCCACACTGGAAGTGCCATGATCTCTCCACACAAAATCCAGAATCATTCCCATCTTTCCAGGACCATGACCCCAGGGTGCTCCAAGGTGACTCTGGGCACTCCAAGGGATGGAGCAGCCACAGCTTCTCTGGGAATTCCATTCCATCCCCTTCACCACCCTCATATTGGGAATTCCTTCCTGAAATCCAACCTAAACCTCAGTTTGGCTCCATTACTCCAACTCCTGAGGAGGAATCCCTCTCCACCTCCCAGATTTTCCCTTCCCACACAGGAAGTGCCATGATCTCTCCACACAACACCCAGGATCATTCCCATCTTTCCAGGACCACCACCCCAGTCTGCCTCAACCTGGCCTTGGACACTTCCAGGGATGGAGCAGCCACAGCTGCTCTGGGAATTCCATCTCAGCCCTCACCACCCTCATATTGGGAATTCCTTCCCAAAATCCAACCTAAATTTCCATTTTTTCAGCTGACTCCAACTCCTCCCCACCTCCCAGATTTTCCCTTCCCACACAACACCCAGGATCACTCCCACCTTCCCAGGACCCCGGGCAGCTCCAGGCTGTCCCTGCCATGGGTCTGTACCTGTTCCTGAGCAGGCTGCTGGAGAACAGGCTCTCCTCGTAGCGCCGGCGCGCGGCGTTGCCGCCGAAGCCCAGGAAGGTGGCCACGTACACGCGGTACACGTGCTCCGTCTGGTGCGCGTCACAGCCCAGGTTCACCTCGGCCAGCAGGCTCTTGGCCACCTCCTCCTGCAGCAGCAAAATCAGGAATCATTTGGACGGTTCTGAGGCGAAAATTAATTTTTTGGATGTCTTGGACATCTTTAAGTTCACCCATCAGCCATTTCTTTAGGGCTTTCTTCTCCTGTCTCTGCTTCCTGCACTCTGGATAATGGATATTCCCACAGGATTGTGGAGGTTATTGGTTGGAAAAGATCTTGAAGATCTTGGAGATCATCAATCAAACAACAAAATCAGGGACCATTGGGATGGCCCTGATCCAAAAATGAATTTTTTGGGATGTCTTGGACAGCTTTGATTTCACCCATCTCTTTAGTGCTTTCCTGTCTGTGCTTCCTGCACTCTGGATAATGGATATTCCCACAGCGTCATGGAAGTGTTCTGGTTGGAAAAGACCTTGAAGATCATAAAAATCATCAATCCAATGGCAAAATCAGGAATCACTGAGATGATCCTGATCCAAAAATGAATTTTTTTGATGTCTTGGACACCTTTAATTTCACCCAACTCTTTCATGTTTTCCTGTCTGTGCTTGCTGCAACCTGATCCAGTAAAATCAGGGATCATTGGGATGGTCCTAATCCTAAAATGAATTTTTTGGGATATTTTGGACACCTTTAAGTTCACCCCTCACCCATCTCTTTAGTGCTTTCCTCTCCTGTCTGTGTGTCCTGCACTCTGGATAAAGGATGNGCAGCTGCCAACATCTGGCTGGAACTGCTGCCCAACATCTGGAAATGCAACTCCCATGGCTGGAATTGCAACTCCTATGACTGGAACTGCTTCCCAACATCTGGCTGGAATTGCATCCCAACATCTGGAAATGCAACTCCCATGGCTGGAATTGCAACTCCTATGACTGGAAATGCTTCCCAACATCTGGAAATTCAATTCCCATGGCTGGAACTGCTTCCCAACATCTGGAAGTTAAATTCCCATGGCTGGAATTGGATTCCAACATCTGGAAATTCAACTCCCATGGGTGGAATTGCATCCCAACATCTGGAAATTCAATTCCCATGGCTGGAATTGGATTCCAACATCTGGAAATGCAACTCCCATGGCTGGAATTGGATCCCAACATCTGGCTGGAATTACATTCCAACATCTGGAAGTGCAACTCCCATGGGTGGAACTGCTTTCCAACACCTGGAAATTAAATTCTCATGGGCGGAATTGCATCCCAACATTTGGAAATGCAACGCCTATGGCTGGAATTGGATCCCAACATCTGGATGGAAATACATCCCAACATCTGGAAATTCAACTCCCATGGGTGGAACTGTTTCCCAACATCTGGAAATTCAATTCCCATGGCTGGAATTGGATTCCAACATCTGGAAGTGCAACTCCCCTGGTTGGAATTGCTTCCCAACACCTGGAAATTAAATTCCCATGGGTGGAATTGCATCCCAACATCTGGAAACGCAACTGCCATGGCTGGAACTGCATCTCAACATCTGGAAATGGAAGTCCCATGGGTGGAATTGCTTCCCAACATCTGGCTGGAATTGCATCCCAACACTTGGAAATTCAATTCCCATGGCTGGAACTGCATCCCAACATCTGGAAATGCAACGCCTATGGCTGGAACTGTTTCCCAACATCTGGCTGGAATTCCAGTCCAACATCTGGAAGTGCAACTCCCATGGCTGGAATTGCCTCCCAACATCTGGCAACGCAATTCCCACCCCAACATCTGGAATTGCCCCCCCTCAGATCCTCACCATCGTCCGTGTGCTCGAATCTCCCAAGGACAAAGTTGATCCCAATCCATGCATAGACTCCTGCAGGAGGAAATGGAACACATCTGGAATTCCAGGAACAGCTGGATGATGGACTTGAAAGCAAATTGAAACATTTTAATTTCCTTTTTTTTTTTTTTTTCTGGATGAGTTCAGCTCTGTTAATGCTCATTTTTATTTTATAAATTGTGGAAGTTAAACATTCCTGGGAAATCATTAATGGCTGAGAATCATTCCTGGGAAATCATCAATTCCATCAGGGATTCCTGATGGTTTCCTCCTCTCCCAGGTCAATGCCAGGATAAAATTCCTGGCTGAATGAATTAAAACCACTTGGATGTGCAAAATCCAGGAAAGAATTGAAGGAAATGAAATTTTAAAGGGATTTTAAGGTTCTGGTGATCAAACCAAAATATCTCTGCTTTTAAATCATCTCATCCTGAAAGTTCCTTCCATCAGGAATGCTGGGATTTATCCTTCCCCTCCCTCTACAGGAAATGGATTTGGTGCCAGTAAATTTTCAGGGAGAATCAGCAAACATTTGGCCAATCAGGATTTGAAAAAGCAACAAAAACACCCCAAGTATTCCCTTGGAAATCCCAAATATTTTCCAGATTCAACTGCATTAGAGGAATTCCTAAATATTTTCCAGATTCAATTCTATTAGAGGAAATCCTAAATATTTCCCAGATTGAATTCCAGTAATTTTTCTGGGATAATCAGGAAATATCTGGCCCATCATGAGGCCAGAGGAACCAAGGAATATTCCAGAAGAACAAAGAAATATTCTTTTCCTGAGGAATAAAGGCTCTCAAGCAAAGCAGGATTTGAAAAAGCAACCAAAATTCCCTAAATCAACCCTTGGAAATCCCAAATATTTTCTAAATTCAACTCCANGGCTTACACTCTGGGGCACCTCGTAGGCGATCTGCGTGGAGACGCCGCCCATGTCCAGGATCCCCACGGTTCTCTTGCGGAAAATGGGATCGTGGTGCTCGCTGCCAGGGACCTCCACCACAGCCTCGTCCTCTGGAAAAACGGGAAAAATTCATGGGAAATAATAGGTTAAAAATCCCTGTGATCGCTGCCTGGGACCTGCACCTCCACCACGGCCTCATCCTCTGGGAAAAAATGGGAAAAGTCAAGGGGAAAATGGGAAAAATCCATGGGGAAAAAATCACTGGGGAAAAGGGAAAAATAAATAGGAAACTGAGAAAATCCCTGTGTGTTCCCTGCCCAGGACCTGCACCTCCACCATGGCTTCATCCTCTGGAAAAATGGGAAAAATCCATAGGAAATAGGTTAAAATCAATGGGAAACCCAGAAAAATCCATGGGAAAAATCCATGGGAAATATTTGGGAAATAGGGAATCCATGAGAAATGGTTAAAATCCCTGTGCTTGCTCCCTGGGACCTGTATCTCCACCACGGCTTCATCCTCTGGAAAAATCCATGGGAAAATGGGAAAAGTCAATGGGAAAATGGGAAAAATCCATGAGAAATAGGGAAAAATCCCTGTGCTCACTGCCCAAGACCTGCACCTCCACCACGGCCTCATCTTCTGGAAAAACATGGGAAAAGTCAATGGGAAAAGTAGGAAAAGTCAATGGAAAAAAATATTTTCCATTGGGGAAAATCAATTTCCATTTTTCCATTGATTTCCATTTCCACGGGATAAAAATTAGCAGGAAAATGGGAAAAATCAATGGGAAACTGGGAAAAATCCCTGTGATTGCTGCCTGGGACCTGCACCTCCACCACGGCCTCGTCCTCTGGAAAAAATGGGAAAAAATCATGGAAAATAGGTTAAAATCAATGGAAAACAGGGAAAAATCCCTGCACTCACTGCCTCGAACCCGCACCTCCACCATGGCCTCATCCTCTGGGAAAAACATGGGAAAAAAGGAAAAATCAATGGGATACAGGGAAAAATCCCTGCACTCGCATCCCAGGACTTGCACGTCCACCACAGCTTCATCTTCTGGAAAAAAAAGGGAAAAATCAATGGGAAAATGGGAAAAATCCATGGGAAAAAAAGGAAAAAATCACTGGGGAAAAGGGAAAAATAAATAGGAAACTGAGAAAATCCCTGTGTGTTCCCTGCCCAGGACCTGCACCTCCACCACTGCCTCATCCTCTGGAAAAATCAATGGGAAAGAGGGAAAAAATCACTGGGAAAAAATGGGGAAAATTCAAGGGAAATAGGTTAAAATCCCTGTGCTCGCTGCCTGGGACCTGCACCTCCACCATGGCTTCATCTTCTGGAAAAATCACTGGGAAACAGGGAAAATCAATGGGAAACAGGGAAAAATCAATGGGAAACAGGGAAAA